TGTACCCGAGATCAAAAGCTTATCGAATTCGGCTGAATTAACTTCGGCCAAATTTTTATCAGTTGTCCCAGAATTTATGAGAACAGCTGTAATTATTTTATTATGATCATACCGAAATCAATAACTTATCGAACTCGTCCGAAATTATCATCGGCAAATTTTTTTAGGTGTCCCAGAATTTATGAAAACAGCTGTAAACTTGTCGGTGTAACATATTGTCGATGTAACTTATTGTCAGTGAAACGTATTGTCGGTGAAATGTATCCGTCGGCGAAACGTATTGTCAGTGAAATAAACATGTCGGTGAAATAATTGTCGGTAAATGTCGGTAAAATAAGCTTGTCGGTGAATTGATTGTCGGTGAACTGATTGTCGATGAAATGATACGTATCCATATATATATTTATATAGCGATAGCTAATACAATGAAAGACATTGTGTAGGCCACTAAAAAAGGAAAAGCGTATAGCATACTTATATATGTCTAAAAACAGAAAATTTTTTTTTAAAAAAGCGTATCGGTATAGTATACGTACATATGTGTATAACCATGGGGGTGAGCACATGAAGTCAGATAAATATTATTTAATTTATGATGCGATACCCGGCGCAATTATATTACTACAGTATTTCTGAGAGCATATTCCGTCTCAGTTTATACATCGATTGCTTGATGCATCCAAATGGTAATACATACCACATGTGTGCAATAGTTTTCGAATAAATCACATTATTTCAATTTCTTTGCATTAGTTTGATAGGATATATCAAACACATCGTTTAAAAATATACTAATGCTCTTTATTAATTAAAGTATTTTTAAATACTTTAATAAAAGGTAAATAATAGAGTTGCTGGTGAAACTAATTAATTTCACCAGAAAACTGGCGCACCGTTGAAGAATAGTTTCATCTATAACTCTAGTTTCAACATCGGTGCACCAGTTTCACCAGTTTCACCTGGTGCACCATTTAAGATTAGTTTCACCTGCAACTCTAGTAAATAATGTATCTTAAAAGATACATTATTACCTTTTATTTAATTTATTTCTTATTCATGCTAATATAGTCGGTAGGCGCAAGTATAACTGATAATGATCATTTATCATTTTCTTATTACGTTTATTCATGTTAAAACCGGGTTTAACATATGAAAAATAAAACCGGTTCCAACCTCTAGTTTAGACTTATTTTCAGGTTTTTGTTTTTATTTCTCACCAAAATTCTATAATTTGATTGGATGTCGATCACAGATTCGCCTCCGCCTAGACGTCGGTATATATCCCCTGACTATATATGAGAAGAAATTTTTTAAAAAAGTATACATAATTTATATGTATAAAAAATTTTGAGTAGATTATACTAGTTGTACATGTTTTTATCGACAATTACCCTATTTAAATGAAGTGATTTTTATCATATCGCAGGTTAATCAATTAGGACCCGTCTTACGTACTTCACCGACAATCATTTTACTGACAACTCACTTAGCCGATATCACGCCAAGTGACAATTTACTAAAAATATATACCTGCAACTAATAAAATGCTAATCCTAACCCTATGTGATGTCGGCTAAGTGAACTTTCGGTGATTGTCAGAGAAATGAGCAGCACCGGATTTGGATTTATAATAACGATAATATTTGTATTTAACCGAAATTATTTATTACTGTATGATGAATTTAAAAATGTAAATTTTGCCCATCCCTAGTTTACCCAATGCACTCAACATAATATACAGTAAAATCGATCCGGTAAAGATCTTGGTTTTTTTTTTTTACTAGCCAACCTGGTCTATAAATAATAAAGTTTTTAGCGATCTTGAGTAGATTAATCAATTCCAACCCGGAGTTTATCACGTATGATCAAGCGACAAAATAAGTCAATGATGAATTCATTCAAACCCTTTATTACCATTTCTTTGAAGATCAGTGATAATCAATTACAGAATGAAATATTCATAAAGACGGGCCAAAGACATTGTTTTATACGTACTGATCCTGTTTTAACGATTTGTAAAGAAACTTTTTTCCCTCTTACTCGTAGAAGTATAAGTAAAGATATAGATATAATAAGTAGTATATATAAATATATATATAGTATAAGACGTATATATAATATATGGGGTGTCGTAAGTTAAAAGGGCCCATTTTTACAATTTTTTGAAAAATGAGTTTTCGTTAGATTCATATAAATTTTGACATGATTGACTTTTTTTAATTATAAATGAAAGTCGATTTGCATAATAAAAAATCAAGATAATGTAAAAAGAAAAATTACATGAGGCTGCGTAGAGCCAAACACGTCACGAGATTGCCCGATAGTCACCTGCCGTCTTTAACCAATCAAAGTCGTGAAATTTGATTAATCCCGGATCAGTCCGAAATCAAAACAAATTATTAAACTCAAATTTCTCAAAAATAAAATATATGTAAAAATGAGCCCTTTTAACTTACGACACTCCATATATTTATGCATGATATTCGTAGTATAGAAAAACCTAAAAAGCAAATTCCTTTTCTAGATATGAGAAAATTAGAAGCTATTTATACAAAGAACAATAGTAAAATAAGAAAATCCTATTAGTTATTTAATGCTATTGTTTTTTGTTAATATATTACTTTTAATTTAGATAGATCAAATCGATATTTTGGATGTCCGGCATTTACTATATGTCATTTTAGCCTTGATCTGCAAGAGGATTTATTATTGTAATAAAAATTTTATTTTTTAATATGAAATAGTACGTATGTCGGCTAGACAACATATAGTAAATGCCGGCATTAATATATATATCAATTGTTAAAAACTAAATGTTCATTAGATGTATTAAGAAATATACTTTAAACAACGGGCAATGGTGCAGTAAGTAGTCAGTCCTCATATTCATATTAAAATAATACGTAATAATTGTTGATTCGATTTGTATTAGTATTTGTATTATGCTTTTTTTTAATGTAATGTATTGTATACGTGTTTGTTTGTGTTACCATGTCATACTTTTTATATTTATACTTCGTTTAATTCGTTACTAATATGTGAAGTCTGTATTGTTTATCACAGTTTAACAGCTTAGCCTAAGGTTTAGTCGCGTTATAGAACAACAATGGCATCGATAATTATAAGTAGAAAAGACAAAAAAAAGTCAATATTCAACTAACGAAGAGGTAGATATTTTATAGTACCAAGCTCCTATAGACACCTTTTCCATTGGGGTCTTATTTGTTGAGATCACACGAACAATTCATTTGATACAGTGAAAAGGTTGTACCAGTTAAATAAGTTGGAAGTGTGATTCCGTTTGGTTCTCATGGTTGTTCTGGTCCCGCAATGAATGAGTGAGAGGCTGCTTTTTCTTTGTGAGATCACCTCCAAGGTGATTCCGTCAATCATGTGGCCATTCTGGTCCCAACAAGGAAATAACCCAATGAAGTTTTCTTTAAGGAAGGTCTACAGGTTCTAAAAGAGAATCAGTTACGTTCCTTCCTTACTTTGGGAAAACTTGCGTTTATTATTTCTATAAATATTTCTACTTGATTAATAATCATTTTTTTAATTTTTATTCTAGATTAGCAAAGAAAATGGTGATTCTCAAAGAAAGAAATTAAAGAAAGATAGCCTAGACGTGTCAGATAAGGAAAACGAAAAGAAAAATGTGTTGGATAATGATAGAAATGTAGAGCCAAATAGTGAAGGCGAAAATCATAAAGAACATTATACTCCAATACTTGTAGATTATAAATTGGAACTATGCAACAAAGAAAGATTTAAAAAACATATAATTTGGCAGATAAATTTTTTTTGGAAAGCTATCCTTGTTTTCAAGCACCTGAAAATACCAACGAAAGATCAAATGAGCCTTGTAATTTGGCAAATGCACCAAATAAATGTGGAGTAGATAATATTTTTTTTGAAAACCATTCTCACGTTCAAGAACCTGTAAATGAATGGAATGATGATAAATTGGAACCAAAAAAGAAGCCTTATAATTTGTCAAATAGAAGCTTCTCACCAAATGAATGTGATAATAAGAAATCAGAGAAATCTTGTAACTTAGAAACCGAAAATTCCTTATCAAATGAATGTGAAACTGATGAAGTTTATTTTGAAAGCTATTCTAGTGTTCAAGAACTTGTAAATGAATATAACAATGACAAAAAATCAGAGAAATCTTGTAACTCAGCAAGCAAAAGTTCCTTATCAATTAAATATGAGAGCGATGATATTTTTTCTAAAAGCCATTCTAGTGGTAATGATAAGAAATCAGAGAACTATTGTAACTCGGCAAACAGAAGCTCCTCATCAAATGAATGTGAAACCAATAAAGTTTTCTCTAAGAAGTCTTGTAGTTTAGACAGAAATTTTGTATTGACTGAATGTCAAACAGATACGATTTTTTCTGAAGACATATCTTATGTTGACCTCGAAGAATTGAATGCATATCCTGAAATCAAGAAAAGTGTGACAAATAAAATGCTTCAAGTGATTGAAAAAGTTAAAAGAATTGAAAGAGACAAGTTGGAGGCCGTGATGAAACTAATAAATATGAAAGAATCTGAAACACTAAAGATGGTAGAAACGATTATAAGAAGAGATGAGGCAGAAAAGCGTGCTATGGTTGGTGATTATCAAAGGCTTTGTGCGAAGCCAACGAAAATAAGAAATCAATTTTGCATCTGGAAAACACATGTAATGTGAGAGGAGCACTGGAATTTATCCGTTCTAAAGTAATGGTTTAAATTTATTATTCGTCAATTTTTTTATTTGAGTTTTTAATTTTTTTTTATTTTTATATATGGTAATAGATCTTAACAATAATTCATCCTTCAGCGAACCTGCTGACAAAGCACTACAAGAATTATCAAAAGATAAAAAGTTTATTGATATTCTCAAAAAAAACATGTGATAAAAATCATCTAAGATTCGATGATGTTAAAAGGTGTGTCGGTAGTTTATATCATACTGCCTCTAAGATTTTCCACGGACATGGTAATATCATTATAAGTGCACGTTCATGGACCACGAATGAGATTTTATCATTAATTGTAATATTCGAATATTTTAAAGTACCCTGGAAATATTGTAATTATGATGGGATCATAGAGGAATGTCCCTTGAAAGTTTCAATCTAATTGTTTAATTTTACAATTTTTTAATGATTAAAGAAACGCAAGAAAGTGTACACTGCTCGCATTGGGGATTATAAACATTAGAATTTTTTTTTTTTTTGTCATTTTGATAATAATGCTAAGTACTGCTGTACTGTACGTATATACAGTTCAGACATGTGACTGGGACACAGGATTTTTTAGATTTTATAAACGTTACATTTGATACTGTAGACTCTTTAGATTAATTATAAAACTTCTATTTGTTATACAGTACATAGTATCATTCATAATTCTATTTAATCTTAATCAAATATATAAAGTTGGACGATTACTTCTATAATAACAGTTTTGAAAGCCTCTTTTATTTTAAGAAAAAATTTATTCTTATTTTATATAATGAAATGACACAATCTCTATTTTTATATTAGCTATTCTTTGAATGCAATTCTCTTTTTTTTGAACTCTAACGATTCCTCGAATATTATAACATTTGGATTGGTAAGAATTCCGAAAATCTTCTGGAATGTAGAAAGTCGAAAATTGCAGTACTTCCAGATGAGAATTCTCTTTTACATTGGACAAAGGTTTTAGAATGGACCTTGGGCGATACATTATATGAACCTGGGTGAGGCATTAAAATAGAATTTCCTTTTTTACACTTGGCTTTGTGAAATTTTATAAACAGGCGAATCTTAACGAATCCTGTAATCTTTGATTTCTCCAAATGAGCGATTCTTCACATTTTAACGTTCAAATATTCACATTGACCAAATTTAGGTAAAAAAAATTTAGCATAAAAATCTTCCCTGGGTCAGAAACTGCGACACTTATTCGATGCATAGGTAAGTATCGTGAAGTTTTATAAAATTTGTTTTATGCATTGTACGCTCGAATTTTCTAATGGAAGCCTTTTTTTTTCTTATTAGGTTTTGTCTAAAACATCGGGCCCTTTCTTCAAATCTAATTTTAGAGTTAATTAATACCATTTTTCCTGGTAATGTCATTGTTATCCTTTTTCTGGTACTCCTTGTTATTTATAAATCCTTCTATATTATACATTATTTTACCATTTATTCTTCAACAATCTTATAATCAATTTTTCCTCACTGTCGGACGACCATTTACAAACCCTCATCAACATCTCTTTTCAGAAGTCCTTTAGCATCATCTTTATCCATATTATCCAGTCCATCGTTATCATCTACGTCGTTTTTGTCTGCTTTTATTATCAGATTCGAAATTTCTTAAACTCCCAGTAAGTTTTATATCAATCAGCTTTCTTGGCTTCATATAACCAATTTTAATGTTCTCTTATAATAACTCATCTCAGATGACTTCTGATAATAAGTGAACGTCTTATGTCCGTCCGTATCAAACCTAATTTCATTATGATGGCAATAGCCAATGTTACATATTTTATTATCACACTTCATACCAATGAGTTCTTGGTAAGCAATGGATACTTGATTCTTATTATTATACTCTAATTCTAAATCCTTTTTCATGTTGATAACCAGTTTTAAAACCACCTATTCAGATGAATTTTAATAATAAGAAAGGCTCCTTATACTCGTCTTTTCTGACTTCAAACAAGGCCCCAAGACCCATTAGTATGAATTCTTTAGGCTGATTATTGGTAGTTGACAGATGTTTCGTCCTTCTCAGCCTTACTCTTACTGATGTAACATGATTCTATTTTGGTAAATTTCTTTTGGGGAGCCCCATTCCGATGGCCTTTTTGTCATAGCTTTACTGAGCAAACCTCAGGGTAACCACTCTCAGTCTCGAATTTTCATTCTTGAAGACAATAGTAGTGGCTTCAGTCTTTCTGGATATTCTTGGCATTAAAAGCACAGGGACACTTTAATATACGGAGTTAAATACAATTTCCTTTACACTATCTTTAATACTTTCAACGGAAACTTCAAAATCCTGGGAATTTGCACTTCACTAATTTCTTGATCTCTAAGAAAATCGTCAATAATTGTTCGAGCATCAGTAAATGTTGCAAACGAATTGTCATCAAAAGTGCTGTGATGTTACTTATGACGCAACTAGAACAATACTACACAAAATACTACACAAAATTCTACTTATAAAAAAACAGAAGAATTTTACTATGAAGCAGGCCAAATATTTCTTCGAAAAAAATTAATTTCGGCCAACTTAAAGTTTTGAAGATCATCGGCCTAGTTAGGATAATGCAGACTGCAATATTGGTCACCCTAAATGATTCATTGAAATAAAACCACACATATTTCTTCAAGGATGTTATGTCGAGTACACATAGAATTAATAACCTTTTCTTCTACACAGGAGCGTAGAGTCTCCTTTCTAGGTTTCTTTAGCTGAATTTTTTGCAACTATTTGAAGATAGAGACTTTATTCTTTGTTATATAAGTGTTGCTTTTTTTTTTTTTTTTTTTTTTTGTTGGTTTCTCGATTTCTCCTGGGCTTGATTCTACTTCCACGGGTTTAGGGCGATGTTACTAAAGATATCTTACGTCCAGTACTCATAAGGTTTAAATATTTAGTTAGTTAAAAGAGCCGAGTTCAGTATAAGTATAAGAATTGAGGCTTTTTGAAGGTAACAATGTTGTACATATTTTAGCTTTTTATTTTGTTCGCCGAATATTTTGAATTGGAGCTTCAAATTAAAGAGAGTATCAACTTTTCTTGATAGTTCTACGACACTAATGGCTTTAGTCTTCTTGGTTCATGTATTTATTTAATCTATTTACTGATTTTTATTGACTTTCTCCAATTTAATCTGCTTTATTTGTTTTGTGCATCAGGAGGATCCGGACAATTCTCATAGTAATTTATCAAAATGCTGTGCAACGAACATCAATTTTCTATAATTCTTTATTCAAAGGACGACGCACATAATATTAGAGTTATTCGCTCAAAAGAGGCATCAATTGGCCAAGGATGTAATTATTGTGATCCATTTATTATAAATAATAAAATTTAAACATTTATTATTGACAGTTGTATTTACATAAGAATGCTTATATACTGACCGCAATTTTGCTAAGCTAGTTAGTGATGGGAAAATGTGCATTTTTCGAAATTATGCGCACTTTTGCATTTTTCAGAATCATGTGCATGCTAATAAAAATAAGTTTATTAGTACGTAGATGTTAGATAAATGCTATATTTGCCAATCTGCTGCTGTCGATTGTATGCAACAATAATTATCGCTATGTATTTAATTTAAAAAACAAACTTAAAAAACTCGACCACAAAATAAAAGACGATTTTTTTTTTGAATTTGTGCGTCACCTGTTGATGACATAACTTATATCGATATTAGTAAGTTACAGCGATCTGTACCAATCAAATTCAAGTGCAATTCAATAACATAGGTTCTTTGAATAAAAATTTCTACCGTGTACTTCTATTTTCTTTTAAATTTTTACAAAATGCATTGTATGTAAACAGAGAGTGTACAGATATTGCAATTTACAATTATTCTATTTCATGTTACAGTAAAATGTAGTTTAGGATAGGCTATATGGAAACTCTTTGTTTAAAGAATTTTTATAAACTGTATTATACTGTACATCACATTTTATTAGCTATTTATTTGGATTCATTATTCAAACTTTTAAAACAAATATTTCCTCATTATTTATTATATTTACTTATGAACTTCGAAGAGCCCATTATTTTCATCATAAAAAATATTAGCATAAGAATATTTTTTGAATTCGAATAACAATAATATTGGAGAAGAGGAATGTACTTTTTTAAACAACGAATCGGGTAGATGTAACTTTTAGTCATCTATC